ATTTAATAAAGATTAAACAATAAAATATATAATTAGCACATGTAGTCTAAGATGCAAAAATGAATCTTCAGAAACTTAATTGTGTTGAGACTCGACAAACACATTTATGCTGAGTTTTATGAAGAAAAGGTCAGAACAACATAATCCTAATGAGTCTCCTGACTATTTAATCCTACAGAACCGCATAATAATGTAGGGTGATTTTATTAAAATAAAGTGTTCAAAGATATGAAACTAAAATATGAAACTAGAATAGAAGTTAATTCAAAATATGAAACTAGAATAATTTAATTTTTAGAAGAATTTATCTTTCAAAAATATGAAACTAGAACAGAATTTAATTCAAAATATGAAACTAGAATATTTAATTTTTAGAAGAATTTAATCTTTCAAAAATATGAAACTAGAACAGAATTTAATTCAAAATATGAAACTAGAATATTTAATTTTTAGAAGAATTTAATCTTTCAAAAATATGAAACTAGAACAGAATTTAATTCAAAATATGAAACTAGAAGAATTTAATCTTTCAAAAATAATAAACTAGAACAAAATTTAATTCAAAATATGAAACTAGAATAATTTAATTTTTAGAAGAATTTATCTTTCAAAGTTTCAAAAATATGAAACTAGAATAGAATTTAATCCTACATAAATAAGCTTGAATGTTTGCATTCCTAAACTAAGCTAAAGATTAACATCGATCAGTTAAATTAAATCGAATGAATTTTGCCTTATTCCAAAGAGTCAATAGGCGCAAACCAACAATACTGACATAAGCGAACCGAAAAGAAGCCTTGCCATTTACCGCGAGCTATAATTAAACCTGAAAGGGTATCGATAACAACAGCATCGCGCAAACTTCCGTTCCAAGCATGACTGGAGACTTCGAACAGTGAATCGCGGCGTCACGACAAGCACGGTTACGCTGGAAGAATTAAAACTGAGATTGATAAGGGAACCCAATTAAGTCGACCGTTTGCACAGCGACCAATCTCAGAGACAATACCCGAACACGGCAGCTACGATCTCACGAACGAGATACTATCTGTTAACAGTATAAAAGTCTCTCGGTTACATCTTCTGAGCAAAATATTAACTTCTGAGGTTATAAGGGGACTGCTTTTTAACCCCTCAACTTATGATTTTCTCAGCGAGTCAGACAGGGCGTCTTAATTATTGTTGTAACATTAAAACAGGCAGAGGATGTTTAAATCTTAGGGACATTTTCTATGTGGCGATCATTGGTGGAGGGGTAGGAAGTGAAACTAACCCCTTAACCTACAACCACGGGTATAGACCGTAGGGTCAAACGTAAATATTATGGGCATAGTACGATGATCGGGACATACTTTACTTTTACTTTTATTTATTCTCTTCATAGGAAGAGGGCGTCTGGGAGCTAATTCCTACCAATTTGCCCGTGATCAAGACATAACCTTCTCGAATGTAAATCGTAGGTTAAGGGGTTAAACGCGAAATTGAATCGTGGTGAAAATGTGAGCCAGATTCGTCGCATTTCAAGAATTACGTGCGTCACGTACCGGAGAGGATATTGTAAGGCAAAGGTTAAATATGACCTGGGATCAGGTATCAGCGATGCTAGTTGAAAAATAGTAAAATAGTAATGAGCAAGGAAGGAGCAGACTTACACGAGGTCGACTTTAGCGAAACGACCGGAAATTGCAGGTGGAGAAAAAATACGGAGAACAGAGGCTGATCCTGAATTAGGTGAACGAATCGGGGAGGATGGTCACGTTTCGTGAAAGAAACATTTCCTTCTGTCTGTTCGTCGAGAAACCATGGCAGTTCCGCGGTGGCGTACAATAGGACACGTTCTCGGTTCTGGAGCCGTTGCAAATTTTGGAATGTCGGCAGCCTTGCGACCTGTTCTCGGTGCATTCCAGCCATCTCCTCCCGGCACCCTTACAATACAGACCCTTTCGAGAGTTGTTGGCTTGTCGGCTTTCGCCTGGATGCGGTATCTCTGTATCGGTCTATTCTTCTTTCTCTCTCGATGCGCCCTCTTCTTCCTTCATATTCCGATTCTTTCTCTCTTGTTCTTGGCCGGCGCTGTCCCTCGTGTAACCGCAAATAACGAATGCATACGCAATTCAACCTTTCTTTGCTCCTCGGTCGCACGGTTCTTCGTCTCGCGGCTCGTAATTTGACGAGGAGAGCCTCGAATCGATGGAATTTAACCTTTTGCAATCTTTCTCGCGGCGACTCTCTCCCGTGATCGTTTCTATCGGCACAAACTATCCGAGTTCTCGCGGAAGTTGGGTCTGCTTGCGTGGTTACGCCTGCGAAACGCGTGTTGCAGACCAATTTCGAGAAAGGTTGCGCCGACCTATTAGGCCAGTGTTTCCCAACCTTTTTCGACCAGCTACTTTTACTTGCGACACTTGTTCATTTACATAGAAAAACGTTTGTCAATGTTTAGTATTCTTAAGTGTTGCGGTCACTTTTAATGATTCAGATTTCTTTTGGAATTTCGTGGTATTATGGGATCTCCATAGGCTATAGTCCCACTCTGGATTGCGCAGAAGGTCTCCCTAAGCTTTTACTACAATACTATTCAAGGATTCTTTTCTGCAAATATTTTAATTCTGTGTTTTGTAAATTTCCTAAATTCTTTTTATGCCCAAATTTCTGGATTCCCATATTTCTAAATCCCTAAGTTCTTAGATTTCCAAATTTCTAGAGTGCCATGTGCATGGATCCCCAAATTCCTAGATCTCCAAATCCTAGGCCCATCCCTAGGTTTCCAAATCCCCAAGTTCTCAGTTTTCCAAATTCCTAAATTCCCCTATTCCTAAATCCCCAAATATCTACATCCCTAAATTCCTGCATCCACAAATTTCTAAATCTCCAAATATCTATATTCCTAAATTTCTACCTCCTCAAATTCCTCCTCCCTAAATCCCTCAATCCACAAGTTCCATATCTCCCTAGATTCCCCAAAAATCCCAAAGTCCTCAAATTCCTCCTCCCTAAATCCCTAAATCCACAAGTTCCCTATCTCCCTAGATTCCCCCAAAATCCCAAATACCTCAAATTCCTACGTCCCCAAATTTCTAACCCAGCCCTAAATTTTCAAATCCCAAAAATCTGCATAAAACGAGTAATGAACCTTTTCCCTCGGTTATTAAATTTTCCCCTAGAGAAGTCAGATTTGGTGTCGACTGTACGCACTCTATTTTTCACGCGAGACCATAACTTTCGCTTTATAGGCTCTAAAGCGGATGAAAATCAACCCCTATCAAACAATTTGAGAAATGGAGACTTAATGAACGAGCGGCATGCAAGTGACCACCGATGGCAGACGTGTAATTAATTTAATGACAAAAAGGTATTATATTACCGTACCGATGTCGAATAAATGAGCCATAGTAATGAATGATTTAATCAAGCGAAGGAGATAATATCTTGGAATATCGTATTATAACCCATTAAAGTACATATTTAGGTTCTTAAATCATTTCGGTGAGCTGGAGTCATTTAAACGAGCTTAATTAACGCTTTATCTACCAGGTTACTTGTTAATAGATCGTCTGATGACATTGATTATTACCTATAAACCAGAGACAGAGACGTTACTGTCGCCGTTAATTATTATTTTACGATTCGACTGAAATATTTTAATTTAATTGTGATACTATAATTAAGGGCTGTACCTGTTACTCTGTTTATACGCTATAAAGTTATATCTGGATAGCTATTTACGCTACTTATAAAAGCATATCTGTATAATCCTGAATATACTCTTCTTAACCCTACTTTCCGATCTCCAAAAAGATCCACCATACTCGAAACGTACCATACTCGATACTTTTTGAAATTGAGCAATGCAAGACAAATTATGAGTAATCGCAGAAAATTAGCGAGAAACAAAGAGGATAATCTCCTCTTATCGAATGAACTTTAAACGAACAACTGTTCCGCGATATTAACATACGTATATGTGCAATACATTCCGGCAGCGCCGGTACCGTACGATACGCAGCATGAATTGATTTTTAACGCTTTTATTTTGCACCCCTCCCGCCGCCTTTTACGAGGCAATTTTGTTCATCGACGAACACGCCAGGGCCAGTTGTAAATAAAAACCACGGGGGAAGCACGAAAACCGTACTATAAACATTCCTGTTCTTCTTTTAACGGCCGTCAACTTGTACCGTGCCACGTATTTATATCCCTGAACTCGTGGTCACGCTACTCTTTCCCCTTTTCGTTCTCGCACGTTTGAAAATTGTTAGCTGCTGATCGATGGGAGTTTGATTGAATTATCGAACGAGGGGGAATTTATGCGACGAGGTGGATTAGAGAGTTCTAACGAATGATCCTTGAAAACAAGGTGACCTACATAGTATTCGCTATTAAGGCATAACGAGGACGTCACACCTTTTCGAGGTCTTTAACAAGTTAATCTTGCGAATAGTCTTGGAGGGTTCAATGACCTGCTGCTATCTTCACTTTTTGGAGAAATATTACTTTGAACAACTTGATTTATCAATGTTGACCTGCAGAAGCCTTTTAAGGCGTTCCATTCTTATCAATTTTTTTTAGTTCGCATTTATCAACCTGCGAGGATCACAGATAATTTAATGCAAGTTTTAAAGACAAGCTTTTTGTACTGCATAATATAACGATAATCATTTTGATATTAACAAGATCGTTAAGTTAACCCTTGATCATGTCGCGACTACATAAAATAATTTTATGAAATGCCGAACATAATGTTATAAATTTTTAAGTTCAAAAAGTGAAGACTGAAAGTAAAGACAAATAGTACCCCCTGCATTTGTTTTTATCCAAAGGAAGCGTACGTTTGATCCGCCTGCACGCACGCGTAAGACGAAGCGATACGCAACGAACGACCGAAAGAGAAAGACCGCGAAACACGCACGAGATCGAGCGAGCGAGAAGAAGGAGCGAGAAGTCGCGTCCAAAGGAAGGAAAGAAAAAGAGATAGAGAGAGTCCATCAAGCAAAACTCACCCTGTTGCATTCCAGAGCCTCCGCGCTGTGCTCCTCCTTCTGCTTGAAGCAGCTGCTGCACTTGCTCTTGTTGAATATGTTCGGCGCGAACTTCCTGCACTCGGCGCCGGTGCCACGGACGCCCGCCGTGCCGCCCGACATCGCGACACGTGCGAATTAACCGCGACGACCGGACAGCAGCATCGTTCGTCTCTCGCCCTCTTTTTTTCCCCTTTTCCACCGTTAACTAGCGACGATCTCGTTCTGGCTGATACGAGATTCGACTTTCGTCGTTGATACACGCTGCACGCGCATGCGCAGAGTTTTATATTAGCGCGCGTAAATATTTCGTTTACGCGCAGACGCACTACCGTACTCCGGTCAGCCACTTCTCCGCGTGTCCGTTACGTTAACGGATCGAGTTAACAGGATTTCGTATTCGAGAGAGAGAGGGCGAGGATAACGCTTATCCAACGATACGTTCACTCTCGAACAGCCGCGATCTCTTGCACCGTGATACCGGCTTCGTGACACGATCAAGATCCCACGATGTGATCGAAGCTTCGCTCGCTTGAAGGGCAAAGTGTGATTCGCTCGCGGTGTTACGTTCGTGTCGAGGGAAAAAATGTTGTGATACCAAGCCTGCTCGATGTGTTTGTTTACCAACGAAGCACGACCGTGCCCGGTTCGTTTCAATTTCGTAATACCGTATACGAGTGCGTGTTTACGATGTCACGGGGAAACGCACGAGTTACGTCGTCGACGTTGATTCGGTTCGACGAAAACGTCCGAACGATTCCGATAGCAGGTGACGAGTGTTCTCTCCACTCCGTTTGCCTGTTGCGGTCGAATCGTTTGTTGACAAGCTCGATATATATCGTTCCCTTGTTCGATGGAGCACGTGGGTTATTCGCGGCACTCCGAATCACACGGTTCTATTAATAGACACACTGGCACGCACCGTAGTTAACATGTCACTGCACCGTTTACCGATCTATCGATTGCGCGACGAATCGAACGCACGTGCGTACGATTGTTCGATCGATCGAAGAGCACTTTTTTTTAGGAGGCGAGATGAATACGCCTTCGGTACGTACGGACGTGGCTGCGATGTATGTAATTATTCGACTGCCACAGTTCACGATATATATATCGATAGTAGCACCAACAGCACCACGATCCTTGCGCACGCCTATCTCCGTCGACTGTCACTGCGATAATCCCGGAATACTACACACGCGACGACTGCGGCAACGACCACGACGATGACGACACTCAAGCACACTTACGACACGTCGCGTTGTGCTCTCCATGACAGAACGCTCCCGCGGACGTCCATCTGCGATCTGGCCCGTTTAACTCGGCCTCGGTGCCGCCGACAGCGCTCGCTCTCGCTCGATCGACCGCAGCACGCCATCTGACAAATGATACTACGCCATCGCGAATATAGTTCCACCAGTGCCGTCTTTCCACCTTTGCAGATTCTAACCGGAACATTATTACAAGAATTCCACACGCACAGTCCATTTCAATTAAATAAATCAATACATGTTTCTCTTTTAAAACGAAATTTCTGTCGATCGTCAAATTTAAGCACTACGGAAAATGCCAATAAATTCACAAATTTTTAAATCTATAGATCCAACAAGTAGTCATGAATTGTACACAAGTTTGAGCAGTAGTAAAGTTTTAAAATGCAACGCAAGCTTGCGTTTAATGTACTATGATAAATGCAGACTTGTACTCTATATTCGATTTTGATTTTATGAGCCAATATATAACATTTGACGAACGATTTTTTAACGGTACATAACGAACAGAATAGCAAAATATAACAGTTGGGAACAGAACTGAAAATGAAATCGAAATATTGTTCGGAAAGAAAACGTCTTGTACAATTTACCCTATGTACAAATAAATTCTATATTATTATTTTACTTACCGATAATTGAGTCAAATGTTAAGCATTTATCGTTCGCACATCTGTAAACTTCTCAATGATGATAATGAACACATATTTTACATTTTATGAATGAGCAAATTTGAACAAACTCGAAATACAAATCGCCACGACTCGAGTCATGCGAATGATTAAATAAAATCAGCTGATATTTGCATCCGGTTCAACGTTCGAGTTTTCTTTTCCGGTTCATCCAGTCCAACGTTCCAGTGTTTGGAAGATTGACTGTAAAGATGGTAGATGAAGCTGGTGACAGGTTCGTAGGCGAAATTATTTTCGGCTTTTTATACGAAATTTATTACTTCCATCTAGTACAAATGTACACAACGCAATTTATTATGATGGTATAAAATTTATGTTTAAATAAAATTAACCTCGCATGTATCCCCTGGAATCCGAGAGATTAATCTTTCATAATCTCTTCCACATACCTATCCGTGAATATTTTACTAACTCGTAAAATTCCACTTCGAGGTGGAAACGAAAATAACTATTTGCCGTGAATTAATTGCTTTGTACGTTACATTCATTATTTTTGCAATTTTTTTATGTTTCTACTTAGCTTCGGTGCAATTTCTCAGTCGTTACAATGTATATTTATTCATTTATTTTAGTCACAGTTTAATAAAGTATTACTTAAATATGTAACGTTAAAAATATTGTCGTGTCTCTGTCATAAATGTGTTTGTATTCAAACAAATCAGACTGTGATTAATTCCAATCAACATCTTACATAACACAAGAGAATTAATTTGTGATAAAGATTAAAGTCTGATATAAATTATTGGGATGATGTATACAAATATAAATAAGTTTAAATAACAAACAAACATCCATACAGTTAATTAATTCAAATATTACCTTAAATTTTATATTTGATCATTTATGTTTAACTATAGGTGCAATTATAAATTATGTAACTTGTAAAAGCTTACATGCAAATTAAATATGAATTTCTTGCAGGGATGATTCTGCAAATGTCGCCATTATTAGAGAGGTGTACGATAATGAGAATGCTCACGAAACATTTGAATATGAACTGGAACGAGCGCTAGAATCTGAGTGCAACTTAATTGTTATTGAACCATCTAAATTAGGTGATGAAACATCCAGGTGGATAGCAGTAGGAAACTGTCTTCATAAGACTGCAGCATTATCAGGTCTCGCAGCTATAACCACAGGTTTGTGAAACCTATGTTGTACGTGCCATGTATGTTGTTATTTATCTAAAATATATTATGTCTTCTTTAGGTTTGATTTGGGGTGACAGACCTTATCTCTGTGGTCCATTAGGGTTTATATCTGTTATATCCTGTGGACTTTACACAGTTTCTTGGCAATTTGATCCTTGTTGTCAATATCAGGTAGAGACTGATACAAGTAAGCTACCACACGTAGAATTGTTAGCTGTTTTAGGACCATCTTCTCCTACATTTCTTGTGAGAAAAGATGACACAAGAAGAAGAATTCTTCACACAACTATTACATTGGTAGCTCTCAGCATCAGTGCCTGGAGAGTATATCAGGCATTCAAGTGAAATAATTGCTATTCAAAACGGAAGAATCTAAGTTATAAAAATACCAGTGAGGTAGGCTGTACGATGCATTGTACATGGTCGTAGTAAGGCCTACGATCTATCTCTAAGTATAAAAATTTGTGAATTACAATTTCATGTATATTAATGGGGAATTGTTGAGTCATACTAAGAATCTGTTTTCATTGATGTTTGTATTCCTTTTATATTTTGACACTACCTCAGACATGTGCTGATATTACAAAAAAAAAAAGAAAGTGAAAATACATAACATGATAGATTCAGAAAGAATTTTCGATATAGAGCATGATCTCTTTTTAAGGATCCATATTGTCATTCTATGATCTCCATCTTATTCATTACATCTCGCAGTTGATTTTAATACAGAAAAAGACACAATTATATTCACGCACTTCACGCGAAACAACTACTGATATAAGTGTTCTTAGAGTTACGCAAAATTACAACTATTCACCTGGAAAGTTGAATTTAGAATTATATATTTTTAGATTGTAAATAAAGTAGATAGAATACACTGCATATGATATACTACAGAAAATGTTGAGTAGATTTTTTCGCCCAATAGTAGAGTTCACGTAAAAAAATGTGTTACATGTAAAAAACATGAAGTGTATTACTTTAATTTGGCATTTGTTTTAATTAGCATTTAACTTTTATTGATTATGTAAGTTTCTTATCATGTTATATATGAAACCTATGGAATATCGAAAATAAACATCACAAACATTCCTGAATGGACAATGACAACAAATGTTACATAATCTAATATATATTAACTTTTCAAAAGACTAGCAATTCATTAATATATCAATAATCTTTAGATCTATTTGTATATACACTGCAAAATTAATGCATTGAATACCAATGTATACAATAAACTTTAAGCATTTCTGTAGTAAAGATCTCAGATGAAATATGAAAGTTAAGCAACATCTTTTATAACTATCAATATTGTTTATCTATGTAACAAGCAAGATAAAAACGTTGCAATTTAGAACGTTAACAAAATATCCATTATTATACAAAGATTAAGTACTATATAAGCTTTTTTTTTAATCATATTAAAGTATCAAATTTATTTAAACTGTGTGTTTTTTTATCATTTATCTATTCAGTTTTGTTTTTAAGAAATTTAGTATAAAATGGAAGAGAATGGAGTTTATTAGTCAAAAATATTTTAAGTGAAGTTTCACAATATTTTTGTTGTTTTCATCACATTTGTTTATATATTATGACAGAATTAAATTAAAAATTAAATTTATCTGCATAATTAGCGTGTGTTGTCTACATTTTATGTACAATATAGATGCATACTTCATTGAAGTCATCTGGAAGTATGTGTTTGTACTATGCTCCTCTTTAAATATATTATATCGATTAAAATTTATATTAATAATATAAAAGAGTATATTAAACATTATAGAACATCATTAATAAGTAGAAAATATATATAAGAGTTACTAATCCTGCCATGACAACAAAGTTTGTATCAATCACTGTGTATTATATATTATACTTTAAATATTTGAATTGTTAGTAGCCAAATACTTGTCATAATACAACAGTGATTGCACAATTGTAACATACCACAAATAAAATATCAGGAATGCTATAAGCTTCACTTTTGATGAATGATGTGTTAAATAAATTTATTGTTATGTGTCATTTATAACTTAAAAAGCCTTTATTGCTCAGCATTTTCCAGCATTTATTTTTTATTTATTTAAAATTTATGTAAATACATCCAATTTGTATGTTTTTACTTTTTCAAATTTTTATTATATTTAGAAACTAAATTTTCGCAGTTACTTGTTATTAAACAGCAATATTTTACGAACTTTTCAAGTTACAGATGACACAAAAATTTGAGAGTGCTTCAGTCTTAATTTTGTCGAAACATTTGTAGTATTAAAGTGTATATAATGTAAACATATTCCACTAATAAGTGGCATAATAAAATATAGTTTTGAATATAACTTCGTTTATTATACTTTCTAAAATATTTCCCCTTTGAAAAATAATTAAAAACAAAACGCCCTATGTATATACTGTTAATATCATTATATGGAATCGTTTTGAACGTATATTAACAATGTAAAATAATACAAAAAAACAATTGTAAGTTATAAATAAAACAAAATACGGTACAAAAATAATTTAGAGTATACTTTGTACAGTGTAACAATGCAAAGAGACTACTCGTTCTTAGCCATCTTTCTTGCTCTTTTATGCATTATCCAGAAATATAAGGATGGACATAAAGTTCTTAAATATATTGCACATTTTGGAATAAATGGTGCTATTACAATATCTTTCTCCTCCTTTAATACTGCTTTCAAAGTTAAGTTTGCTACATATTCTGAAGAATATCCTTCCTGTGTAGCTTGGTCCATTACTGCAATAGTATTTGTTTTACATAAATCATTAGTTTAATAAATTTTATTGTTTTTATACACTAACCTCCATAAGTCTGTCCAGTTCCTGTTAATGCATTAAGAGAAAGAGAAGTATTTATGTAACCAGGGCTAACAATGGTAACTTTTATGTTTTGATCAGCCAGTTCTGCCCGACAACTATCACACCATGCTTGTAACGCGTGCTTAGATGCACCATATGCAGATCTGACACATTAATTTGTTGTGAGGTTTAAAAAAAAATTGCTTTGGAATAAGGATCATATTTAACATAAACACAAAATATACCAACCTGTATGGAATTGAAATTCTTCCCTGTACACTACTTACACATACTATATGACCAGACTGCTCCTTTATCATATATGGAAGTACAGCTGCAAAATTATACATGCATAACAGAATATAAATATTTCTTGTTAATAGTTTTCATTATTAATCACCTTTGGCCAAAGCAATTTGTGCAAAGTAATTTGTGAGCATAACTTTTATATCTACATCCACACTCGTATTAACAACTTCTCCTCTGTAAGATACACCAGCATTATTAATCAATATATCAATTTTCCCACAAATTTCTATTATCGATGCTACTTTAGATTGAAGAGAATTCATATCAGTTATGTCCATCGCCATAATTATAGGTGGATAAGTTGTTACTGTCTAAAAATCAATCAGGTAATTAAATGCAAACCAACAACAAAGTTTCAATAATAAATAATAACTTACTACATGAGTATTCATTAAATCATTTTTCACTCTTTTCAATTCTTCCTGTCTTCTAGAAACTAAAATAATTTTACAGCCGCAATCATAAAAAACATGAGCTAGTGCTTCTCCCAAACCTGAACTGGCTCCAGTTATCATTACTACCTGCAATTTAAATTCATGTTAAAAACATATCACTGTCTTTACAACAAAGTAAAATTTACCTTTCCACTCAGAGCAGCTCTCCTCCTTTTTTGTTGCATAATATCAACAAAATGGTATATTAACCATGGAATAGTTATTGGAAATCCAAATAATTTGAACAACCACCATATAAGGTGCCACCCTTTCAATGTTTCTTCTTTCATATTTCTAATTCCTTTTGTATAACAATTGTATGAATACTGTTAAATGAACTCAAAGCTTAACCTTTAGACTTGTAGTATGTACACAACGATGGTACTGCAGCATGAGCGAAATATAGGATAGATTTATCGCGTAATGAACATTTTTGTCCTAACGTTTTTGTATCACATGCGATATTACCGACCAGACTACAATGGGACGATAGCGCTACTGGAAAGGTAGGAATTATTTTTGAATACAGTAATAATCATATACTTCTTATGAACATAAAATAAATTTTAATAAATGCCAATGTAAATTATATAGGAAATAATTGCAGTATTATAATCACTTTGAAAAATAAAAAATAATTAGAAAAGTAAAAGTAATGAGACTAAAAAATATAAATTAAAAAAGTAAAGTAATGAACAAAATTTGCTATGTATTTGTATATGAAAGTTTACAAAACATAAAGAATAAACATAAATTAACAAATAAATAAAATTAAAAATTAATAAAACAAAATAAAGATAACAGTTGACAATTTTTCATACATTCAAAAATTATAAAAACAGTAAATTGTGATATATATAACAATAATTCCACTAATGAATAATTGTAAAATTAAATTATTATTTAATATAATAACTCATGGCTTTAATAGCTATTTTATACATACGAACAAGAAAAGTTTAAAAATAAAAGAATGTATAAATGTAACAATAATTTCATCAATAAATAATTGCAAAATTATAAAAAAAAATCATAAAACATTTATTTTTATATTTATACTAGATATCTTTTGGGATTATGAATCTCCAAAAAGGGGTAGTGAATGAAAGAAGTTTAAGAAGCGCTTAGGTGCAGTAGTAACAAGGGAGAAAAGAATAATCGATCTTTAGTGTTATAACATCGTTTTATTAGATTTAAATTGAAATCGATTATAAATTATGGTGATGAGTTCGAGTACTAGGACTAGGACAAATGGTTCGCGCTGCTCTGCTCTGTATACTCAATTTCATATTGCATATAATTGGTGAAGGATAAACATCATCGTTTGAAATGATCATCATCATCTCCCTTTACACAATCACGCGAGTACACGCATTTTACTCTCTCGTTCTGCGGTTTGTAACATAATGGTAATTAATGTCTGTTCAATTGTGAACATGCATCAAACTCCAGCACTCGTGACAAAGATTTAATCAAATTTTAATCTTTGGAGATTTAATCAAATTTTAATCTTTGGAGATTTATTCAAATTTTAATCTTTAGAGATTTAATCAAATTTTAATCTTTAGAGATTTATTCAAATTTCAATAACATGTAATACAAAGTATATGATCATTTTAATTTCATTACAAAATATGTGAAAAAATCGGACTCTGCTATTTCTTAGATAAACAGACTTGAAAATAAGTCGTTGAAAAGAAAGTTGAGAGTGAAGTTGCTGAAGTTTAATGCAGATAAATGAATGAAAGTCCCGGGGACAGAATTCTGGCACCTCCTTATCGCGAATAGAAAGTCACACGAAAGATTCTGTCGCTCCTCTAAGTTGCCAGCAACTCTTTAATACTGGCACCGGAACTCGATCCACGGTACAGTCGAGATCATCTACTTCGTGTTCAATATCTGTTCGTTTCTACATGTCTCGTAAACGGAAAAAAGATTGGTGTCTTTAATTCTTCCAACACGGACAATAAGCGACACGATTTCTCTATATACAATTTTCAAACAAAAATTACAAGAAAGTTGTTTCCTTTTGAAGAACTGATTGTTCAAGAAATTTAAGTTTTATAACTTAATTCAAATTTAAGGTTAAGTTTAATAACTTAGTTTAATTTTAAACTTAAGTTTAATAACTTAATTCAAATTTAAACTTAAGTTTAATAACTTAATTCAAATTTAAACTCAAGTTTAATAACTTAATTCAAATTCAAACTTAAGTTTAATAACTTAATTCAAATTTAAACTCAAGTTTAATAACTTAATTTAAATTCAAACTTAAGTTTAATAACTTAATTCAAATTTAAACTCAAGTTTAATAATTTAACTCAAATTTAAATTTAAGTTTAATAACTTAATTCAAATTTAAACTTAAGTTTAATAATTTATTTCAAATTTAAACTTAAGTTATTAATAACTTTGATAACAACCTTGTCCAAACGATTAAATTAAAAATTTAAAAAATATAAAGAATGATACTTGAAAATAAATGCATTATAAATCACAGCAGTAATAAAACACAGTTGCTGAATAAAATTAGCAGTGTAATCGCTTATTAGTCCAGTGTCAGAAAGTGGCAGTGTTCACAGATCGATAGTTAGAAAATCGATTACAATAAGAGTTCAATCTTAGCGCGCCATTTGAAATGGTCTCGCTACGAGAGACATTCGAACTAGTAATTGAGACTAAGGAAGCGTCATCCTCGTCTCGGATGCAGATCGTTGAAACTCGATTTCGAGTTGAACACGATAATCGAATCGGTTTTAACAGGATCGCATTTCGTTTCGAGGATCGTTTCCGATTCCGTTCCAATCGCAGCGTAACTCGCGACGCACTGTTCCGATCGTTATAATCGAATGTACATCGAAATCTTTCGCTGTAACTGGAACGCGGTATCGATTACACGTGTCTGCTATCTAATGGTTTACCTCAAGCAAATTTACAGGAGAATCGATTTGCATCGTTCCGCGTATTTTCGCTAATTTTTAAATTTATTCTAACTTTATTAGGGCCCGAAGACCTAATCGAATCGTTTCGTGGGTGATCATGGTACGCTAATGAAAGAAATACAAAAAATGGTAGAAATCAGAACCGAATTCTCAGAACGTAATTTGTTAACACTTTCGTCGCAGGATATTCGCAGTCGAGATAGATCGTAGTGGAATTCCAAATAATCTTGCGACGGTACATAATATTTTTAAGCTAATCGTTTCAAGAAATGAAAATGCATTCGGTGTAAAATGCAGTGTTGAAAATATACTTCAACGAGTCTTGCGCAATTATTGAAAAGTAATATCGTGATCGCAAACTTATGTATACATATGCGCATGTGTGTGTGTATGTATGTATCGTGTTAACGTGTATCACATCGCCATTCAACAATTTACACAGCCAGCGACGCCATTTTATTTACACCTTGATTTAGCCTTTTTCAATGATCCAGTACCAACGTGGTTGATAATTATTCGTCTTTATTCTAAACACCAGCACGAGGAAGAATTACGTTACAATAAAAATTTGTTTCTCGATCAACAGCTCTCTCTATCTTTTTCTTGGCATTCTTTCGTTCGTGTTTCTTTTTCTAGCTTTCTTTAACATTCACAATAAATTACGAAGCATCTCGAGTATGCAACAGCGCTTTTTAGTCACTAATAAACTGTTGTAATTACCGCGCACAATTTGAACTTGTAGGATCATTTGGGACGTTCTGAGTCACGCGGTATCGCGTGATACGATTCTTTTAGTGGTTCCAAATTTAATGGTTCTTCTAGACTTAACCTACTTCGTTTGGAAGAGTTTTATTGTTCTTACGCTCTCGAATTTTTTAATTTTCAACATCATTATAGCGTAACATGAAATTTCTAATTTTATTTTAAAACGAGATGACCTTTCTGTGGTCACTCATAATCGAATTAATCATTTCTGATTAGATTTGCTTTGATTACTTCAATTTTACCTCATTTTACTTTATTTTACTTCAGTTACTAATTTTACTTCATTTTACTTCATTCTACATAAATTTACATCATTTAAATTCATTCTACTTCGCTCTACTCCATTACACTTCATTTTACTTAATTTTCTATCAATTTACATCAATTTACTTAATTTTCCTCGACATATACCTACTGATTTACTTAATAATTGTCATCACGAATCACGAATATTTCTCTACAATTATAATCACCGACGAGATTACATTTCCAACTCCCACATTCGATACACCCGTTCAAAACCCCGTTCCCGTATCACGCGATATCGAGTGGCAGGGTATTCAGAATTGAACGAAAAATGAATATACTTCAGAATCATATAATTTCGTTCACAGCAATTACAAGATCAAATTGTGCTTGGCAGAATGGTAACATTTGCTTTGAGCAAAGATTCGACCGCGTCGTTGAACAAGTTTCATCTTCGAGTTTTTCGAAGTGTTCTCGTTTAAATTCCGGCGGTACGATCGCTTTCGAGGTTCGAAGATGCAAGGTTTTATTAAAAAGACCATGCTCGACGAACATCGGTAACATTCAAGAGCCAAGTTTCGCTTAAAAGCCTTCCTCCGGGAAATCGCTTCGGACATCGAATCGAATAGTCGATTTCCACATTAAAGCATACTTTGTGGTGTTCAAAGACCTTTCAATGTTAATTAACTTAACAATTTTTATTAACAGAGATCTTTCTGGTAATGTTAGTTGATTTAACAATTTTAATATTGACAGTGTTGACGAAGATCTTTATGGCAGTGTTAATTGATTTAACAATGTTAATATCAACAGTGTTAACGAAGACCTTTCTGACAATGTTATACAATTTAACAGTGTTAATATCAACAATGTTAATGAAGATCTTTATAGCAATGTTGATTGATTTAACAATGTTAATATCAAAAATGTTAATGAAGATCTTTCTGACAATGTTAATTGACTTAACAATGTTGATATCAACATTGTTAACAAAGATATTTATGGCAATGTTAATTGATTTAACTATGCTAATATCAACAATGTTAACGAAGATCTTTCTGACAATGTTATACAATTTAACAATGTTAATATCAACAATGTTAATGAAGATCTTTATAGCAATGTTGATTGATTTAACAATGTTAATATCAACAATGTTAACGAAGACCTTTCTGACAATGTTAATTGACTTAACAATGTTGATATCAACAATGTTGACAAAGATCTCTCTGACAATGTTAATTGATTGAACACTGTTAATATCAACAATGATGACAAAGATCTTTCTGACAATGTTAATTGATTTAACACTGTTAATATCAACAATGATGACAAAGATCTTTCTGACAATGTTAATTAATTTTTAACAATGTTAATATCAACAATGTTGACGTAGATCGTTCTGACAATATTAATTAATTTAACAATGTTAATATTAACAATGTTGACAAAGATCTTTCTGACAATTCTAATCAATTTAA